GTGATGGCACACTAAAGTGTCGTAAGATTTTTGAANTGTATAATTTTCTTTGAATAAATGTTATACATAAAATATTTCAGTATTTTTTTTTTTTTTGGCGTGGAACGCATTATCGTATTTTACATCAATTTATATGGGAAAAATTGTTTTGTTTAACGTGTATTTCATGTTATGAGTAAGGTTCTGGAACGAATCATGCTCGTTAAGCGAGGTTCAACAGTGTATATGGTTAATATGTATATGAATTTGCACATAATATTTTTATTAAAATTTCACTTTTATTAAAATTTCACAATTAAAATTTGGAATTATGAAATTACCTGTCAGGTGGCATAAGGTTATCAAACAGAAGGTTGAACACATTGTGAATTAAAGGTTTTTATTTATTCCAAAATAGTATATTTTATTTCTTTCTAAAAACTGAACGAACTTTTGGTTCAACCCAATATATAATCATAAACTAGGTGATGAAATATTGTTTTATTTATAATCTATACACTGTAAGTGAGATAGAATTTCTCATTTTTATTTCAAATGATATGCATTTGCTGATTTTTTGCATCATTGTTAAAAAGTACCTTTAGTATATTCTGTTAAAATTATTTTTAATTGCACTATGATCATCTCTAGACTTGTGGTTCTCATGAGGTTTTTCCTAGTGACTGTAAAAGAGGCTACAAGATTTAATTGATGACCACATAATTTTTTTTTTTATTAACTTTCATAGGACAATGAAAGTTAGATGAAATTTATTTGCTGAAACATAGAATTACTAATAAAATTCCGAAACTGATTGTATAAACTTTAATTAATAAATTATAATTTAAGATTTGTAATTTTTTTAAACAAAACTTTTATGATTAGTGTACTTAAAATATTTTGATAAAGTTCACAAATACAATGAATGCTAGAATAAAAATGTAACCATGTTACATTTTTGGACATAATATTGGACATCACTTTTGAAGTGAGAGTTGAAAAACTACAACTTTATGACCAAACAACAATGAGTCAGATGCATCTAATGAGCAGATTGGTCAAGATACTCAGAAAATTTTTTGAAATTTTAAGATCTATTTGCAAAATTCTTATAAGAGATGTAGTTGAAAATTTTTTTACTATTGCATTTGTAGAAGCTGTATGGTTTAAATTCTGTGCAATGGAATGCATTCTGTAGAAGTCTGCTCAGAAATGAAGACCTTTTATGAGAATTACCATAGTCTTTGAAAGGTAGAGGAAATAACAGCATTTCTAGAAGGACTGTTGTCTGTATTATTGAGAACTGCAATGGCAGAATAAGAAAACTGGGATGTCCATCGGTTCCAACCAGCAAGACAGATGTTTCTTGCTGAAAGTAAAAACAATGATTAGACAAAATCAGCTTGTTATGCATCATTAAGAATCCTTGGATCTAAATGTATACCATACTCATATATGCTGTGCTATCCTCTGGGTTCTGCAACAGGAGGGTTTAGCTAGTGTAAATTATGAAGAAACTGTTCTTGACCTCATTACACACGCAAGAGTAGCCAAAGTTTACCTGGCTCTATCTCTGATCATGCCAATCTTACAATCTAATATTGCTACTTCTTCAGATGAAAAGTGATTTTTCTCTGGATAGCCCTTACAACTTGTTTTCATATTTGCTCAGATATTAGAGCACTGCACCTGACTGTCAATGTATGATAGTGTGTTGGCAGGAAAGAAGAAACATTATGATTTTAGTGGCAAATTTCAATAGGACAAGTTAAGACCATCAATCAGTAATATAACAGCAGTGGATCTTCAATGCATATATAACAGCAGTGGATGAAGTGCTAGTTTGATCACAAAAAATGGATATGGCTGCAACATCAAGAAATCAAACACAATGGAATAGTGAGGATACAGTCAGCCAATCTAAAGTAGTTTTTGCCTAGAAGAAAGTAAGAAGTTAGATTAGTAGACACTAGAAGTACTTTGCTTAAATATCTTTTAAGTACAGTAAGATACTGCTGTGTGTCTAGAAGGGAGTATATGGCAAAGGAAACTTGAATTTTTAAGTTTACATCAAATAAAAAAAACAATTGAAAAGTATGGTAAATTAATTTCAGAATATCTGCATATTTGATGATGACCTTTTATAAATATAACTTATTGAATAAGCAAATGTAAAATTTTACAATATAAGACTATTTGTAGTATTAATTAATTAACCCGTTAAGGACTTATTTGCCATATTTTGTACAAATAGTTTGTTTTCAAGATTTTTATAAGACTTATTATTCTAAAACTGCCAAATAAATCATCTCTGCATATAAAATCCTACCTGCAGAGATTATTTATTGAACATTTTTAGCATAACAAGTCATATTTTTCATTGCTGAATTATAGTATGAATTTTACATGATATTGAAATAGGTTCCAATACCATATAAAATTCATACTACTAAATGTAACTGATTCCATTGATATCATTCTTAAAATGTCAGGTAAACTGTACACAGATAATTGTGAATCAGAATTAACAACTGAATAGGAGTCTTCACTGGTGGTTTCCTTTTTTATCACTAGTCACCACAAGCAGTCATGATTGTCTGTATATACATAGTTTTACATTTATGAGTACCATCATGTTCATAAATAGCAATTTGAAAACTACTACTATTATATGTACTGTACATATGTAGAAAACCATCAGTGTGGGTTATATTTAATTATCATATACAGTAGAACCTCGATTATCTGGATTGTTCAAAATAAACAAAAATTTTACGAATTTGCTGATTTGCACTTGGCGAATTATGATACTGTTTATGTATGTGATGGAATGCATAACTTTTTTTGTTTCAACAACGTCCACCCAGCACAGTGGCCATAAACTCTTAAATATATTTTGCGTCATAATAAAAATATAACTTGACATACGTATTTATAAATAATTTTATTTTCAAATTACATCATTTCTATGACCAAGGGCGGCGTAAGGCATGGGCAACGTAGGCCATTGCCTATGCCTTGCGGTTCGAAGGGCCTCGCGTTTCGAAGGTTTATGCATTGCTTAAAAGCCGCGAACACGACGAAAAAATTTTACTCATCATAAAACGATAAATGGTTTGTCAAATTTTTATTCATAAAAATGCAGTTTCAACTGCTTTTTATTTTATAAAATCCGTCTTCTTGCGCCACCAGAGGGCTTTTTAAACAATAGGTAGTCTGTTAGCATTGGTCAGTAGTAATCCAAATTCAATACAAACGTTTGTTTCTTGAAAATTTGATCATGATTTAAATACAGTATTTACTTTTAATATTACCAATATGTCATCAAAAAGAAAACGTGTTGTATTATCATTAAAACACAAAGTATTTGTTTCAATTATCCAAATTTTTCCTTATCTGGACTACCCTCATCCCCAATTAATCCGGATAATCGAGGTTCTACTGTACTTTACTCAAATTACATTATGTTACAGAGAGTACAAAAAAAATCTCTGTATAAAAATTATTTCCATGTTGTTTTACAATGGTACAGTAGAGTCTCGAAAACTCGGCCTAATGTGGACCGAAGGGTTGCCGAGTTTGTGAAAATGCCGAGTTATTGGGAATGGGGTTTAAAAAAAATAAGTATGAGTGTTTCCTCAAAAAATACTGTACTGTATATATTGTTTGCTTGAGAATACAACAGAGAATAAACTGCCCAAATACCTTTAAACAAAGGAAAAGCAAGTCCTTTATGAAGGCATAGAGCCTTTACTACATGAAAATGAAAATTAATGAATACACTGTGTACAGTAATTTACCTGATAAGACAGACCTCAGAAAAATACTTTGAGGCATAAAGCTGTCTATAATGAAAAATAATTAACTAAGGATTTTTTTTGCCCTGCCAGGGTGTGGCCGAGTTATCCGAACTGCCTGGTTACCGAGTGCCGAGTTTTCGGGACTCTACTGTATTACATTTTTGTAGTTTAAATAACATAAACAAGAATAACCTAGAAATTTGTCACAGGCACTATACTTTTATATTTAATGATTCTATTTTGCCATTGCAGTTAAAAAAGTCCTTTAAAAAACCAAAAAATATCCAATTAAATCAGACTGTTTTCAAATTTATTTTTATAAAATAATCGCCATCCAACAAAATTCTACAACAAACAATTACTGTTGAAATAATAAGAGATTCTGTGACTGATTTTTGAGTTTATTCTGAACATCAAATTTTGGGTTATACAATTTTCTGACTGGAAATTTTTATATTAACATAAAAGAAAGCCTGTTATGATGATTTAAATCAATGAGAGTTTAAACAGATTTCAACAAATCTTGAGTTGTTTCTTAAATTTATTTAAAAATAATAATAAATTAAAACATTTGTCGGTTTTGTTTACACGTTTATTGGGCCGCATGCGGCCCGCGGGCCGCGGGTTGAACACCCCTGGTTTAGAATAACGGTGATCATAGAATTTACTATTAAGTGAATAAATGCAGAAATCCTATAATATGCGGTGTTATCGCGTGCAAGACATGCGTATCAAAACACCTACAACGTCGAAAAATGTNCTTTAGAAGTAATTTATTTTACTATATTTTAATTCCTTAATCAAACTCATGAGGCATAAGATTGTGTTTTCCAGCAATCATTTATTTCTCAAGAGTTTGAAGGAGGATATTACAGATTACCATCATCTTTACTGCATGTTAGCATATTTTAGTTTTTTTTTTATATAACAATTTAAATTAAGAATTTAACAATATAAAGATCCTTGATCTTGATATTGTTAAATTACAAGTTGCAAGAAACTGTAAACACATTTTACATTTCATTGTGGAAAAATTGAGATAATTTTATTGTAAAATTTGTGTAGAAATATTACAAAATGATTTTCAAACGTCTCTTGTTTAGTATAGTGTAATTAAACATAAAATATAAAATTGCAGATTATTTTAATTGATCTATCTATACATTTAATTTCCATATTAATGAATATTTTACTTAATGCTAAATAAAAAATAATTTTCAGGAATGAGAAATCAAAGTAGTGCTACTGAATGTCAGCAACAAGCCCAGTTACTTCAAGATGATAGTGAACAACTGACAGCTAATGTTGAATTAGTTCAGCTTATCTGTGCAGGGTGTTTGAATGGATTTGATTCAGAAGACCAGTTTGCAGCTCACATTTGTACTGGTCAAGCCGAGTATGTTTTACATTTATAAACTCATTTGCAAAGATTTCTTTAACAAATGATAACTGTTATAAAATTAATTTTAAACTTTATTACAGTGTTCAGGATCAAACTCAGACAATTGTAACATCTGGAACTGATTTAATGGATCAGCACCATCAGCAGATAATAGTCCAGACAACACCAGGAATAAGTACTGCTGAAGAAATTAGTATTGCAGCTGCGCAACTTGTTACGGCTGCTCAAGAACTTTCTGGAACAGCCACAGTAACATTCAGTTCTCACGAAGATATTACTGATCAGCTTGCGAGAGCTGTGGCGGAAGCAACACATCCTGGTAGCCAAGTGACTGTAACTATTGGAAACTCTGGCATGGGTGTAAACACAGCATTAAATGTTAATTCCCTCACTTCTCAATCAAATAATGTGCAATTTACATCGGAAGTTAGTGATAATATCTTTATGCAGGAAAATGTTGTTGAAGAAAATCAGTTACAAGAAGAACCTACAAACATTACAGAATCGTCAGAACCACAACCTGGTGGGTTTCCTTCTAATTCAAACCCACCTTTAAATACCAATTTAACTGAGGAGACCCAAAGTGTAGTTCCAGTCCCAATGGAAACAGACGAAAACATACTCAGTTCTAGTGGTGTAAATAATACTTTAGATACTGATCAGAACATAGCATTTCAGCAAGAACTCCAGACACAAGAAGAAGGTACAACATATGCAGTAACAGATCAGTCAGAGACACAGAATGTTGAACATATTCCTGAAGAATCGAGTGAAGAGATTTGTGGTAATAACTCTCTACCAATGGTTCAACAAGATCAAACAATGGAAGAAGAGAATCCCATCGGAATGGAAATAGAGGATTCTGAAAATCAAGTTGCAGACATTGTAATGATGGTACCAGATGATCAAGGAGGAGACTCCCAACAAATTCCCGTAGAATTATCTGGTGATCAGTCTTATGGTACAGCAGTACTAAATGTTCCAACATCTGATGGAACTCAAAGAGTTTTATTGATACCCATCAGTTCTACTGAAGGTGGTAATACTGTTTTAACTTTACCCAGTGGCATCACTATTGGTTCCGATGATTCTGACAGTGGTAATATGACTGTGGCTTTAAATGCACAGAACACAAGTGAAACTGTTGGAGATTCAGAACAAACTTTTCTTACCCTAATGCCAGAGACCGGTGTTGATGAAATTTTGGAAAACAATGCAGACAGTGAACATTTACAGGATAGTTCGATCATAACTGGGAATTTAGTGGAAGATGAGGTGACGACGCACAATCTTGTTCTTAGTCAGGATCCAAATGTTGCAACCACAATAACAGATTCTGGTCCGTGATTATTTTAATCATTACAGTTTACCAATTTGTAATGTTATCATCCGTGACATGTTTTCATAGAATGACAATTTGACATTTCATCTCATTTTTGCACTCTGAAATCAGAATAAAAAACAAAAAACTGTGATTTCACTTTCCCACAGATGTTATATATTTGTGTTTAAATACTTATATCCTCCAATATTACAGTAGTTATAAAAAATGTTTTTATAATACCCTTTGGTTGAAATAATGGAGTTTGACCATAAAAATTAATTTTTAATGCCAGTGTTAATATTTTATAGTAAAATATCATATTCAACAATAAAAATTAATCATTATATCAAAACAAAAATAGATAAATCTCTCTCTCTCTCTCTCTCTTGATGTACAAAGACTTCTGTTCTTCTGTGATTGTATCGAATAACTGTATTTCAGGACCAAAAATGTATCTGTCAACATCGACCATAGAACTTCATTTTAAGTTTACTTTGAAGTATTTTTAAGTCCCATTACATTCATACAATTGCTAGATAATCTGCAATATCTGGTTAAACATTAGTGTAACATACTAATGATTTGGTGTTGATCCATAATTCCAGAAGAAATTTTTACTGTTGACACCCGCACCTCCAGTCTGATTTCTGATACACTCCAAAAAGATATACATCATCAGGTAACAAAGCGCTTTTATCCAGCAGGGGTAACAATAGATACTGCTGTGAATCATTAGTTTTTTGCCAACCTTATAGCATCATCATTTCTGCATTGTAAAGTACCCCATTTCGTGTTTAAGGAACTCGTGACATTGTGATGTGCAGGGTTTATTTCAGCCGCATCTGTGAACCAATATTTCTCCGTACGAGGAAAGGCAGTTTTATGATCACAATGAATAATTCATTTTGACATTCGAAGAACGTCGTCCATCAAACTAACTCAAAAAAAGGCGTAAAAGTTCAACATGTTCATTTGGCGCAAGGGAACATCTTCAAAAGGAAATAATTTGGAAATAGATAACAATATATATTTATATATACGTATATATTGTTCAGTTGGCGAAAATGTTTAATGTCTGGTTTCCAATAAAAAAGTTATCTGTATATTACCATAATTTTTTTCTCCTTTTAATTTTGAGAAATTCGGTATTGAATTTTATATGTTTATTGGATAATGGTATCACGTACAGTACATTTCCTATTAATGAGTTGGGAAGAGTCTTCTCGTTTGAAATGTGCATACTCATGAAAAAATCAATAAATTTTATCCTCATAACTTAGTTTAGTGAAAAAACATAAGATTGCCCTTAAAAATTTGTGAGCTTAATTGCTCAAGAAAAACAAAAAAATATTGAATTTAACGGACAAAAGAGAACATTGGTTAATTAACATGTGTAAAGATATATATTTCTGCTAATTGTAAAATTAACAGAATTTTCGAGGGAAAATGCTCCTTTTCCCGAAGAAAACATGATTTTATGCTGTTGAAAAATGTAAATAACGAGAGAATTTTGGAGTTAAGGAATAGGATTCAACACCAGATTATTCAAGGATAAGACGAATCCATCTATATGAAAAGTTGTATTAAATCAGCTTTTATATATATATATATATATATATCGCTAATTTTGAAAATTTCGTGATTGAAAAATAAAAGTGTTATTGATTAATGTAATATTTCAATTGTAACAGAAGAAAATGGATAATAAACGATAAAATTCAACAAAAATACAATCTAAATATATGAATACACCACGAAATTGGGTTTTCCTGGGAATTTTTTTCCTGTTACACACAAAAGCCTCTGAAGCGCCATGCTCTAGCAAGATTCTTACGCCTAAAACCGTAACTGACCAATGGAATAGATAGCCAGAAAAAGGATACCTAAGTACGTAATTTGGTAATTTTCATATAAGCAATATACAAAGTAGGGTTTCTCAAACGGTATCCCGGTTGTTTTTTTAACCCGGGAAATTTTTCTTATCCCGGGAAATCCCGCAAATTTCTTAAAAATTCACTTTTTTTTCTTATTTTGTGTTAAGGTTGAGGAATTTTGCAAATAGAAAGCATAATTAACTCATTCACTGTCAGAAAATGAGAAACCCTAATACAAAGTTATTGCTGCGATTTCATAGGACAAACTGAAGTTCCCTACTGAAAATTGATACCATTTGCTTCAGTAACAGTTTACAGCGCGTATCGTCAGAAAGGGGAACTATACAAATGCAGTGCATTTTAAAGCGAATTTATGAATATTCATAGTAAGTTGTACTTCGCACCTGTGCAGACAATGCAATCTTCATGAATTAAATGATTTTCATAAGTGAAAAATAAAATATTTAAATTTAACTACAGCTGTCCCTTGATAATCCGACAGGTATGGGACCAAAGGGGTGTCGGATTACCAAAAGTGTCCTGATTACTGACAGTGATTACATATTTGGCATTGTTTTGCTAACAGTAGTCTACAATATTCCTTACTCCAACTGTTCGAACAGAACTGCTCACGGTAAACACACGAAATGTGTGTCATCGTTTAAGAATTGGGTGGGGAGATTTACGTTGCGACATGATTCTGTGCAGTAACGGGGACGGGTACCTTGATGGGAGGTGCGTCGGACTACTGAGCATGTCGGTTTTTTTAACTCTGCCCTGTGGGCACTAAGATGACCTCTTTTTTGCAAGTCCATTATGGGTTCGGCCAGGCCCACAATGAGGCTGCCGGGTGGTGAGGGACGGGGCCCGACGTATCTGAACGGACCACCCTCCGAAAGATTCCTGAGGATTTTTGTCGATCAGTTCGGATTCGAACCCGGGTCTCCCAGAGCGGTAGGCTGCCACCTTGACCGCTCGACCATCCGGCCGCAAGTATGTCGGTTTAGTAAACGTCGGACTATCAAGGGACAGCTGTATTCACCTGAAGGAAACTTCATTGGAAGTGACAATAAGTTGCATTTTGAATGTGTTCGTTTCGAATGATCAAATTTGCCAGTAGGTGTATATCAAAATATTGATTTGTCTTATACTGTAATTTAATTGACATTTTTGCGTCATTATTATTGATTAAAAGATATTCTTTATAATTATATAAATTTTATGCAGATGTCAACCATAATGGCATGAAATAATGTTTCGAAATTGAAAATGAGTCTGTGCAATGTGTAATTTTGTTCTGATAGGCGTAATAAAATCAGTAAAAATCGCTTCTGATATAAGGAAAGATCGCATTAAATACGTTAGAAGAACGTTAATTGGCATTATGCATTATTAAAATGGCAAATAAGCTATGCCATTGTAAGGTTTAGAACAGGGGTGTCCAACCTTTTTGTTTCTCTGCGCCGCATTGGAAGAAGTCAAGGAGTTTTGGGCCACAAGTATATATAATATATACTTGTGGCCCAATATACAAGTATACTTAAAAATTAACATGTCTAGATTATAATAATAAGTATTAAAACTTTATCACGAAAAAGGATATTTTAAAAAATTACTTCTACAGACACTTTCAATTTTTACTTAGAAATAGATAAATTCATTTATTATAAAAGAGACAAACGAAAATTTATTTGAAAAACACAAATATTTGTTTTATTTGGGTCTCTAATTAATAAAAAGCGACGAAACACCATTTTAAAGTGCATTTTTATTCAACTAATATATTTATAAATAATATGTAGCCCAAAAAGTAGCCAAAGCGCCAAATGATATTTTTTACGTCAAACAAAAAAAAGTAGCCACATTTGGCGCAATGTAGCCAAATCTTGCAACGTTGGAAGAAATACTAAATAAAGCTGGAGTTGTGAATCAAAGGATTATAGACCCAAGTGCGGGGAAAAAGAGGCAAAGGACAAAAGATAAAGAAGTGAAAAAGGTTGAAAAATTACGGGTCCATATTTGCTTAACAGAAGATCTATTTAACGTTTCTCACTACTACATCTTTTGTCCTTTCTCATCTTTCCCTCCTTTTCCCAAATTTGGGTCTATAATCCTTTGAGTCACAACTCCAGCTTTATTTAGTAATCCTTCCGCATTCACACATCTCCAAGTATTTGAAAATATTTTCTTTCCACTCAAAAATAAAATATGAATAAAGGTTTATGGCTTTATGAAACTTTTTTTGAGTTTATGCCGTTGAAATAAATAAATAATAATAAATTAAAACATTTGTCGGTTTTGTTTACACGTTTATTGGGCCGCATTGGAACTTGCCTTGGGTCGCATGCGGCCCGCGGGCCGCGGGTTGAACACCCCTGGTTTAGAATAACGGTGATCATAGAATTTACTATTAAGTGAATAAATGCAGAAATCCTATAATATGCGGTGTTATCGCGTGCAAGACATGCGTATCAAAACACCTACAACGTCGAAAAATGTGATTCCGATTGGTTTTTCATTATCGATCATACATCTAGTCTTCATTTACGTGTGTGGGGCAAGTGCAACCTATGGTGATGTGTGTGATCATATTAATGTGTTGAAAATTTATGCGCGAGAACGTGTAATAGATCATAAGATTTTGATGTAATTCAATATGAACTCGTTATTGATTTTTAAATCAACCACTCTGTTGTTTCATGAATGAGTTTGTTTATTCATGAAACAACAGAGTTCAATTACGTGTGAGGCACGCGTAATTGAAGACTAAATATGATCTTAACGGAAAACCCATCGGAATGTACTGTACATTTTTTGACGTTGTAGGTGAATTGCTGCAGTTATATACAGTGTGTTTCAGAAATGTTTAGTCAAGTTTCACAGAAGGGAAACCCTAATGAAATAACTCTGAAATTAAGCTTCGGATCAAAAAACGATTCTCGACCCAGTGTCGCGTTATAAGAATTAAAAATTACAAAATCAATTTTAAAAAATTTATGTAGTTTGGCAATATTGTACATCGCAAACGGCATTTCAAATAGGGTTGATTACAATTAGCTGACTGACAACTCAGCTCGAAAGATGAAGATATAATAAATTTTGTTTGTTCATCTCTGTAATCTGTCTTGTAATTTTCTTTGTAATTGCAATTTTTTTAATTTGTTGTTAAGAGTTTTTTCTTTGTTATAAACTGCAGTCATTTAATTAATACAATTACATATTCCAATTCTTGTTTAATTAATTAATCTAGTTTATTATTTTGTGCAATAAAAGTACTGATTCAATTAAGTATTATTTATGAATTTTTCTTGTGGATTACATTTAATTGTTCACAAATATCATACATCTAACTTTGTTTTAGTTTCAATGAAATTTCACGTAAAATTGTTATTTAGTTTTTTCTTCTTTTTGCTTGGGCAGAGTTGAATATAAGAGGATATCGGTGGATTCTCCCTCAAAAATTTCCAGAAGAAAAATGAAGTCAATACCGTATGTACCTGGGTCCCTAATGCAAATTTTCCAGAGTCCCGTGAAGCTAAAACGCGCCACTGCTCTCGACTTTTTTATTTGAGGTTTCTCCAAATAAAAAAGTCGAGCTAGAATATACTAGTTAGAATGGCTGTAGCGACGCCATATTTAAAAAAAATTGAATACACGTCCGTCATTTTTCTTTTAGTCATGGGGTGCGCCATTTATGTTGTGTAAAGGCAACCAGCTAGAATATTCTAACTCGTTGTGTAAAAGTGTGCAAAGGAAAGGAAGAGTTTTAACCCTTAACTAAGATGGTGCGAGCAGAGTCGGTAGATTAACTGGTCTTTCGACTACCTATCTTC